AGGCCTGGGGGCCAAGGAGTAGATGCATACCCTGCCTGGGTCAGCCACACTGTTAGCCAGAGGCAGCATCACCTCCACATCTCATTCCGCACGCTGTCCCCAAATCCTGGGTCAAGGCCTATCTAAATGGCAGCTTGTCCTCCATGTGGTGGGCAGGTGATTAAGGGAAGAGTGGAGGCCTCTTCCTTCTACCCAGGCCAAGGAAGCAGGAATGACCAGTGGAAAGAGAGCCAGAGGACAGCCAGCCAACTCTTAGGAATGGAATCACCACTGAAGGACAGTCCCTCCTCCCTGAAAACACTCTTCCTGCTGGGCATGATGGTGCATACCTGTAATCCCAGCACTTGGGAAGCTAAGACAGGATTGCCATGAGTTCGAGGCCATCCTGTTCTCCTGTGTCCGTGGGACTGCCTGTGGTAGGGACAGCATGGGCTTCACATGCTAGCAGAAGCATGTGGTGGTTCATCCTGTAATCCCAGCACTCTGGGAAGCTGAGGCAGGATGATCAGAAAGTTCAAGACTAGCTCGGGCAACTTAACAAAACTTTGTTGCAAAATAAAAATAAAAAAGAAAGCCCGGGATTTAATTCAGTGGTACTGCACATGCCTCAAAAGCTAAGTCTGATCCTGGTACAAAAAAAAGATTGGAGGTATGCGTCAGAGAGAAATCCTAGGTTCAATCCCCAGTACCACAAAGAAGTGCCGTTAGGCATGGGGTCCAGTCTGGCCTCCATTTCCAAGCTGGGTGGCCCTGGCAAGTGCCACAACCCTGGGCCTTCAGTTCCCTCCTCCGTGGATGGGATATCCTGGCAGGTTGCAGAGAAGTGAGGTGATGTGGGGGCTGGCACGGCATGTGGCATGAGGCTGGCTCTGTTAGGTGGCATCCCCTTCCCCAGTGCAGAGCAAATCCAGGGCAACCAGTTTGTGAAATGGGCCAACACAGCAAATAGCATTGTCTCCTATCTCTAAGAACTCTCCTTTGGATCCTTTAGCAACATCTTCCATAGGTGTCAGTTTTCCAAGTATTTTTTTTTTTTAAACAGAAGTACTAGTGTTGAGCTAGAGTCTAATTGTTGGATGTTAAATCCAACCTTCAAATTTGCTTCTCTCAAAGTTTAGCCTCTTCCTCCAGCCCTGGCCTGATCTGTGCCTTAGGGGCTTGCAGTATGGGGCAAGGGACACAGCAAAGCTTGCCTTGGCCTTCATCAGTGAGCCATTCGGTCTCAGCTTTGCTGGTGGGACTGAGATGCCCACATTTGGGACAGGCAGCTCTTACACAGGGCCGAGCTGAGGTCCTTCCAAGCCCCCCTTAGTGGGTATTCCCCCTCTATCTCCTCTCGTGTGGTTCCCAAACCCCTGCACCCTGACTCTTTACTTCTAGAACCCTGGGTTCCAGCACATGGCCCTCTTGGATGCTTTCCAGATCTCTTCCTTCCATGAGAGTGTTCTCATGCTCATGCATCCTGAGGCTAGAAGCACTGTGTGTTAGTTTTCTGTCATGTAATGAAGTGCTTGACAATGAACTTAGGGAGAGAAAAGCATTATGTGGCTCACAGTTCCTGATGTTCCAGTCCATGGTATTTGGCCCCATTGCTTTGGTATTTGGGAGGCAGCACATCAGGTAGGGGTGGGGGAAGCAGAGCTGCTCACCTAAGGGCTGGGAGTGCAGCTCAGTGGCAGAGCCCACACTTAGCAGGTGCAAGATCCTGGGTTCAATCCTCAGCACAAAAACCAAAGACAAAAGCCACTCATCTCATGGCTAAGGAGCAAAAGAGAATGAGGAGGGTCCAGAGTCCCACAATCCCCCCTCAGAGCATCCCTTCCAAGGACCTAAATGTTCTACTGCCTCCTGATCACCACCCTGGGGACCAGTCTTTAACACATGGGCCTGTGGGGAATATTTAGATCCAAACTATATGCTGGCACAGTAGGTCACCCCTGTAACACAGCCTCTAGGGAGGCTGAGACAGTAGAATCACTTGGGCTCAAAGTTTGAAGCCAGCCTGGGCAACATAGCGAGAACCTGTCAGAAAAGAAAAGAAGGATCCAGACTAGCACTCTAGAAGTATAGACCACTCCCATCGCTGCCCTCCTCTGCCCTGCTGTGTGGCAGCCCAGCCAGCTCTCATCCAGACAGCTCATCAGCACAGTTTTAGATGCCCAAGGACAGTGTGGCTCTCCCAGGACTCTCCCATGTCCCGGCCAGCAGCTCTGCAGCATCCACCTGGGAGGTGAGCTATTGGCTGGCCTCTTGCTGCAGCCCTGAAACCATCAGGAAGAATGGGCAACCACTGTCCACTGCACAGCTGGGTCAGGAAGGAGGCCAATCACTATCCACTGCACAGCTTGCCACATGCCCACCACCACCAACCCCGGGACAACTTCCAGCCTTCTAGTACAGCCTGGGGAGTACAGCCAGGCTAGGTGCGCATCTCTGGACACGCTTTGCTGATCTCCCGAGTCCCAGGTGTGGATGAGTCTAGAGCTCCTCTATACAATGGGGAGTCACAAACCACATTGTGTTCGTAGCTTTGAGACTTCAGCTGAAAATCCTAAAGAGTAAGAAAATCCCACTCAATGTTCTCTTAGCAAGACAAAGCATTAATATTCTGGACTCAGGATTTTCAATTTCTTTAGGAAGGTTGTATTTCCCTCAAGGGGTAAAAGCAGTGTTGTGTACACTGGTCTAAGGCACCAAGCTTGAAACTAGGACAAAAGGGTGGTGGTCTATTCCCAAACGGGCTATAGCACATGTCCCTTCTGTCCTTCCTCACCAACACAATGAGAGGTAGACCTTTTTTATTTTCTTTTTTCTTTTCTTTTTTTTGGTACTGGGGATCAAACTCAGGACCTTGTGCTTGTAAGGCAGGTGGTGGAATCAGAGCTAAATCCCTGGCCCTCCCTATACTTTTCACAGTCTGCAAATTTAAACTTTTATCATCAGAGTACAGAAAAGTCATAAAACAGCTTAACAAAATCTTATGCAGCTGGCCCCCATGTAACTGACACCCAGGTCAAAAGGGCATCCCTAGCACCCCTGAAGCCCCCCATCTACCCTTCCAGTAACTACCCTACCACCACCCAGAGGAAACCCCAGCTCTGATGATCATCAAAATTACTTCCTCACTTTTCCTTATCATTGGACCAAGTATGCATCCCTAAAAAATACTGTCATTCAGTTTCACCTGATTTGGTCAGAATTGGGCATAATGGAATAATGCAGAATGTACCTTTTTGTGTCTAGTTTATTTTAACATCCTTTTTGTGAGATTCACCCATATTGTAAGTAGCTGTGGTTCATGCTTTTTCATCCTGTCTTTTGCTGTATAATGACTAAGACCATGCTTTGGTTATATTACAGGGGTCTGTCTAGTTTTGTTTTGTTTTGGTACCGAGTCTAGCATTTTTAACAAACACATTCCCACTCCATATACAGTCATATAATTCAGAGCTGATTTCTTTATGGACTGAAGAACTTAAGTTTGCCTTAAAAGTAGCCAGGCATAGTGCCACATGCCTGTAATCCCAGCACTCTGGTGGCTGAGGCAAGAGGATCACTGTGCGTTCAAGGCTAGCCTGAACCCCATAGGAACTGCTAGTTTGTTGTTGTTTTTTCCACTCTTTTGTGGCAAATTCTGATTGTAGGGACATAATCCATGGTGATATCTTACATGGGTTAATATCTTAAGATTTTCCTCAAACCTGAGTCATTAAACAAGAAGAATACCATGGTCAAACAACTGGGCATACCCTGCAGGGAGGCTAGAGAATGGTTAATATACACTTAAGAAATATACTCTGAAAGTAGAGTGTTATAAGAAGTATTTTCTCTGGCCTGTTTAAGGAAATAGCCAGACAGGACAAACTCTTCTCCGCCCTTTCCTGGGGCTGGCCCTAACCGAGTAGCAATGCACAGACATGAATCAAGAAGGGACGACCTGAAGTTCTGCTGCCAGAGGTGTTCAAAGGTGCCACAGGGCTACTCACAAAAAGGGTCTATTTTCAGTTTAGCTTCCACTCCTTCAGTTTGTTTGTTTGTTTGTTTTTTGTATGGGGGATTAAACTCAGGACCTTGCACTGGCCTGGCAGGCACTGTGCCACTGAGCTACATCCCTGGACCCAGGTTAAGCATCGAAACAGCACGTGAACCCTCCCATCCAGAGATTAAACCCCCTGCCATAACCAGTCAAGCAAGCCCGGGTCCCAGAAAAGGACCACAGCTGGCAGTGGGCAGAGAGCTTAGAAAGGAGGAGCAGGGCCACCCTTCTGCAACGCCCTGGATGGCACGGGCCAGTGCCACTGGCAGGCAGCTGGGTCTCCTGCAAGTCAACTGATGGAGACTTTTAAAGCCAGTGCTTCAAACAAGTGCATAGGGTTAGGCTTAATTGTAAGTGTTAAAAGCAGTAACCAGCTGCCCAGGCCCAGGACACACCATCTAGACTAAACCTTTCCCTTGGCCAGGTTGAGCAGGGGTGACTGATGGAGGGCCTCGGAGAAGGGGCTACACTAACACTCACGCTCCCAAGGCCGCGGGTGAATTCACTTTCAATCCTTCCCTCAACTTCATAAAGCCCTTTTCTGGGAGCATGATCCCACCTGATCCCACTCTCCCGGGTCCCAGAGTGAGCAGTCCTAGCTAAGGTGAAGGCTTTCTGGAATTCTGTCCGATGGCTGTGCCGTGGGTTGCTTTATAGTCAGTTGAGTGCCCTCGGTTGGCTTTGTGGTCATCTGGAGGTGTGCACCTGTGAACAGCTTCTGCTTCATATGTGCCGCGGGGACCTTCTTGTGATCCTCTGGCCCCACCCATGTTGGTTCATGGAACTCACCCACCCACCCAGGGATGATCTCTATCATCGCAGAGGCAGCTAAAACCAGGAACACCTCTAGTACCACCAGGGGAGAGAGATGGCAAGTCCCCACCCCCACCGGGTATGCTCCAGCCCCGTGCGTCCTGGCCACCTCGCCCTTGTCTATCCCGTGTGTCTGTGTCCCATCCCCCAGGTTTCGGCATGACCACGCCTGCCACCGTGGGCGGAAAGGCCTTCCTCATCGCCTACGGGCTGTTTGGCTGCGCCGGGACTATCTTGTTCTTCAACCTCTTCCTGGAGCGCATCATCTCGCTGCTGGCCTTTGTGATGCGCGCGTGCCGGGAGCGTCTGCGCCCAGAGGCCGACGGGCTGGCGGGCTGGAAACCCTCGGTGTACCACGTGCTGCTCATCTTGGGGCTCTTCGCCGTGCTGCTGTCCTGCTGCGCCTCGGCCATGTACGCCAGCGTGGAGGGCTGGGGCTACGTGGACTCGCTTTACTTCTGCTTCGTCACCTTCAGCACGATCGGCTTCGGGGACTTGGTGAGCAGCCAGCGCGCCGCCTACCGCAACCAGGGCCTCTACCGCCTAGGCAACTTCCTCTTCATCCTGCTAGGCGTGTGCTGCATCTACTCTCTCTTCAACGTCGTCTCCATCCTCATCAAGCAGGTGCTCAACTGGATGCTGCGCAAACTGAGCTGCGCCTGCTGCGCGCGCTGCTGCCCGGCGCCCGGAGCGCCCTTGGCCCGGCGCAACGCCATCACGCCG